TTGGCTGCACATCCATGATCCGAGTCTCCTGTTCCACCGCATCTCTGGAGGCTATTTGAGTACAGTGAACTCATTGTCATGCTCATGAAACCAGTTTAAGATGATTTGAGCTTTGAGGAATGGTGCACACTGTGCTCATTAAGGGACAGACATAGTCAGCAATAATACTCTGGTAGGCTGTGGCATTTAAATGTTGGTATTACGAGACCCAAAAGGAAATAACCCCCACACCATTACACCACCAGCAGCCTGAACTGTTGATACAAGGCAGGATGGATCAATGCTTTAATGTTGTGCATGCCAAATGCTGACGGTAAAAACCTGAATTTCGAAATCAAAATCAACTAATCAGACCAGGCAACATTTTTCTTTAGTCTAATATTGATGAGGCTGTGTGCAAATTGAAGCCTCGCTTTGCTGTTTTTAGCTGACAGCAGCGATCCTCTGCTGCTCTAGTGCATCTGCATCTAATTCGACATGTTGTGCATTCAGATACTCTTCTGCATACCTGGATTTATTATAACTATTATTATAAACCAAGTTACTGTTGCCTTCATATCAGTGTAAAGCACTCTGGCCAGTCTCCTCTGAACTCTAAAATCAACAAGGCATTTTGGCCCAGAGAACTGCCGCTCACTGGATATTTTCTCTTTTTTGGACCATTCTCTGCAAACCCTAGAGATGGTTCTGTGGGAAAATCCCAGTAGATCAGCAGTTTCTGAAATACTCAGACCAGCCTGTCTGGCACCAACATGCCATGCCACATTCAAAGTCAGTTAAATCACCTTTCTTTCCCCTTCTGATTCTCATCTTCTACTTCAGCAGATCATCTTGAATTGCTGCCATGTGACTCGCTGATTAGATATTTGCATTAACAAGCAGCTGAAGAGTTGTAGCTAACAAAGTGGCCAGTGATTGTATATTTGGTGCGTAAACCATAATAATAAAATAAATACTGTTTGGATAGTTATTGTAAAGTTGTGACAAGTGTTGTTGAAACTTTATTAATGGCGAAGAGATGCTGTGAAGAGTATCGATAAACATTACACTGATAGCTACTATAAAACTAAATCTGATGTTTATATTAACTTTTCAAGAGTGCATGCGTAAGCAGGTTAGGTGGCTTTAGTGAAATCACGATTGTGGACTTCTGGTTTTAGTTTTAGTCATTAGTTCTGTTTTAACTCGTGCTTTACTTTTGTTTTCACTATCGGCTTGGTTGGATATGGCCACAAAGAAAACGAAAAACATATAGTACTGTGCAAAAGTCTTGAGCCACCCCTCATTTCTTTATGTTTTGTCTCCAAGGAGTCAGACTTTTTGTTTTGTAATTATTAGTAGTCTTAAGCACTTTAAAGTTTTCTAGACTTTTTATTTGGACAGTAACTGCTTTTTCACTCGTTTTCAGTCCTGTCCTTGAACCCGACACCTTTTCGGGGGTTTTGTTATCTTGTTAAGCCACTAAGCACTGACATATGAATCAAGTAATTCAACATTATGCACTCCACACTGTATATAAATGCCACTTGTTTTGCACATATTCAACTCTGTATATTTTATATATTTTATTATTATTATTATTATTATTTTATTTTATTTTTTTACTATTTAATTTGTAAAAATGTGTATACACACACACACACACACACACACACACACACACACACACACACACACACACACAGGAAAATATTTAGTATACACATCCAGAAATGTATACACTATTATATATTGTACATATATTTATTAGTTTCAGGTTGGCCATTCTTGTATTTTGCTCGTTTGTGTTGTTGTGTTTGCACATCTCTGTTGCTTGTGGGGCTCGCACACAAGAATTTCACTCGCATGTGCTGTGCCAGTGTGCCTGCACATGTGATGTGACAATAAAAAGTGATTTGATTTGATTTGATTTGAAGTATTAAAAAGGGCACCCACCTAAGACGATGGACTAGTCTTGTGTTTACACATAAAATACAACTTAGCCAAGGGTCTATTTTGAACTGGATTTTTAGGCACTTAACAGCCTGGTGCAAAAACATACAATATCATTTGATTTCTTAGAATCCAGTTAAAATGACAAACATAACAAAGTTTGACAGGCATGCAGTAGTATTTTTGAACAAATAACATTTACTCCTAAAGAGCTCCTAAAGAGAAATCCAGGCATATCTCTACATGGTGTGCAGTGTGTACTTAAAAAAATGTGAGGAAATAGGACAAATCATCTAAGCCAGCATGCGTATTCATTACATTGAAAGTCTACTCTTACCTCCACACTACTAACCTAGCGTAGTATTGGCCTCCTCTCTTCTTTTGTCTTTGGCCAACAGTAACATAGTTTCCACCGTCACCCTTTTGGCTAACAGCATCTGTAGTAGTTAACCTGAGCACCAACCAATCTGATATGAAAATCTCATTCTTGATGAGAAGGAGATTTCCATACAATATGTCAATTTTTCGATATTTCCACAAGCATGTTTGATTTGAAAAACTTTACACCTCCCCATCCTAACACAACCCTCCCCCATTTATCTGGGCTTGGGACCGGCATTCCCCAGACCTCAACATTATTGAAGCAGTATCGGATTATCTTGATAGAAAATGGAACAAAATGGAGTGAGCATCCAAAGAAGAGTTTTGAATGACCTTTTGGAGGATGCAGAACTTTTCCTGAAGTCTACTTAAAGAAATGAAAAGAAAGCTTCCCTAGGAGAGTTCAAAGAGTGTTGAAGCACAAAGGCGACCATACCAAATATGTTTCAATAAATCCCTGTACCTGTACCATTTTCCTATTTTAGGAATAAATAAAAAGAAATGTGGTTTGAATAGAGTTCAGTGTGGGTGGTCAAACCAAATACTGACTTTCTGACTCTTCAAACTTTTTTTAGGGTATAATATAAAGGGTTTTTGCTCTTTATATTGATATTAATATTTATATATATTGCACGCACCATATGTATATATTTACCTTTATGTTTGCATGCTTCAGTATTAGTGTAGTATTTTCCTAGCAAAATATAAAGAAATTAGGCCGCATGTGACGCAAGACTTCTGTACAGTTGTCTGTTGTGAAAGATTACTTATGTAACAGCTGTTTACATGAAAACCATGACTTGCAGAACACTTTTGGCACTTTGATTCATGTCATATCACACGAAGTAGCTATGATTGGCTCCCAGCCTGGTGATCCACAGGCTTACCATAAATGGATTGACACTTAGAGTGACTTGAATGATACATCAAAAAATGCACTTTCCTTACTGAATCTGACACGTCACAGCTCAAGATATCTGGAGCTATGGTGCTGGGCAGGAGTGTTTTGTTTTGACATTGTGAAGGTCAAGCTGTGTCTCAGACAGACGTTTTAAGACATCATGTGATGCCATATGCCACGCCTGAAACCACAGCTGCAGAGGAGGGTAGAGGGTAAATTGTAGGCTGCATCCGCGATGCTCAAGGATGTTTTTTCCACATACCCATGAAAGCTGGAAACTGTATTGAACTACTTTACTCAGTTTTCCAAGGACCAAAACAACGTAATAAAATTCTGCTGAAAGCATAACACATCTGGAGCTCTAAAAAGAACGGATGTTCCCGGCATCACACAATCTCTCAAACACAGGCCACTTGTAAAGTCCAAATTTTACATTTTTTTTGGGTGGTGTCAGTGCCACCTGAAGGTAACCTAACACATTTAAAATGAATCTTTAAGCCCTATTAAGCTAACCGGCTAATCAGAAATCAAGACCACTAAGGAGCTTGGGGAAACCTTACCTGATCTTTGCTTAGGTTGGGGCACCCACTGCCTTCCTGTTAGTCAGAATACTGGCAGTAGTAGCACTGGTGTGATTGGTCAAACCAGACCCAGTAAGTTACAGAGCGAGTGAACCTCTTATCTAATGCTATTATGTAAGAAAAAGTAGGTGTTAGACTCAAAAAAGTGTAATTTTCTGCTGTTTCATCTTAGAATAATAAAAAATCTTTTAAACAAAATTAAAGTACACCTGATATGTTTTTACCTAATTTCTGTCATATGTATACTATGAGAGTGATGAATGTTCGGGTAAAACATGGTTAAGGTTTCACATCTCTCATGCAGAACTGCACTCGCATAGTTATATACATACAGCAGCGTCACCTGCTGGACAAGAAACATGACGGCTATGAATACCATGATTCTGGCTCAGGTCCTTTAGGTTATTTTAAACTACTTAATGCAGTGTTATTTGTCACCATCTCAAAAGAAACATCAGTAGCTGATTTTTGTGGGTAGTTGCTGCATGTAAAACATTTTCATGTTTTACTGCTCATAACTGACATTTTCTTTTCCCCCCCACAGGCAGATTGTCTTTGGAGGAGTTCATTAAAGGTGCCAAGAGCGACCCGTCCATTGTCAGACTGCTGCAGTCGGATCAGGGAGCCTCTCGTCAGTTCTGAGGACACAGTGAAAGTGATCACACCCTGCAGCTCATGCACACCTACATCCCTCCAGCTTTGTGCCGCTTGTTCTGACAGAGGATCAATCTTCATCACAGCCCCTCCTCCTTTCAATTTAACACTCCATGTCTTAATGTTTACATTAATGTACACTTCTCTGGTCAATGTGGCTTTTTTCCCCTCTGTGGACAATGAAGTGGATTTTCAGTCAGGGCATTTTTTTTGTGCATTTCAAAACGTCTCGTTTTGAATACCCGTTTGCTGTAAGTGCCATATCTTTTATTTATGCTTACAGGATTATATGCTTTCAAGTATTATGACTTTCATGTTATACTAAGAGGAAACTAATTAAATCACTTAATTCTATTCAATTTAATTGTTAAAATGTGGCTTATTGTTGTTCTTTATTAATTTCCTTTGGGATTAATAAAGTATTCTGATTCAAGATAACAGTAGCTTGAACTGGCACAAGCTGCTGTATTTAACAAGCTCTCTCTATGCCTTTGGTATTGCATGTGCTCAGTGAAATGAGTTTACAGTTCATGTTAATAATGAGGCAGTGATTATTTTTAATTTCTTTTTATTTTTGTAACAAAAATGTCCTTTTGTTTTCACACAATTGAAATAAAGTTGTGTAAGAAAAATCTACACAAGAAGTCCCCCCTTGGTATCCCCATTTGTCCTGGACACACATGATGCAAACTCACCAACATCCTCAGTCACTGGTTTAAAAAGAGACAAATTTAGTCACATCAGGTGGGACGTTTAAGTGTTAATTTGACAAGTCCACATCTCAAAGTAGGTGCTTGACGAGGGCAGGAAAGGCAATGTTTTAAAAAGTGAAACAATGACAAAAATGTGACATTCGGAAGCTCCACCCTCCTCTCCTCAGTGGGCAGCAGCTGTTTTAAATATGCGGCATCTAGCGTTCAGCAGGTATGTGAGAAAGAGTTCACTCAGAGGACACGACACACTCTCCCCTCCTTCCTGTCCTCCTTGTGACTAACAAGATGATGTGAGAAACCGCAGGTGTCTCTCATGTGTCTTTTCAGGAGTATTTCAGTAACTGGGCGACCGGGCCTCCCATTCATCCACAGGAGAGGGGAGGTGGAGCGCACAGGACCAGACCAGACCAGACCAAACGCAGATAGTCTGGATCAGTCCTGCCCCATTTGGACTCATAACTCGTCCTTGAAGTCATCGAGTTCTACATCACTGAGGTCGTAGTCCTCCTCCACGGGAAGCTTGAGGATGACAGAGCGTAAAATAAAGACGAGCTGTCAGCAAAGACTGAGATGGACTGAACCTCTTCAAAGATTATTTAAAGAGACAAGAAGGTTATCTGGATTTAAGAGCACTGCAATATTGCATAATAATGCAGATGGAGTACAAAGTTTCAGTGCAGAGGCGGTACAAAGCTGGTAGGCATTTATTCTGTTACACTAAGCAGACGTACAGATTCAGTTTAACTACAAATTGCTTGCCCTGGACTAATAGTTTGTCCCACTGGGACAGCCCATAAACCTTGGGTTCAGGGGATAATCCAATCCTGTCATTCTGGCCCTTGTCTGTGTTCAGCTTCAGTACCCGTTTTCTGATTCACCTACCAGTTAAGGTTGTTTGACTACCCTATGCTAGTCTACATGCAGTGCTACACATTCCAACCATTATGTCAATGTGATTCCCACTCACCTGTCCATCTTTGCCGTCCCATGGTTCAACAGTGTGAAGCTTGGGCATGACGCCACCTCCCAATGTGGCAGTTGAGCCACGGCCCACAGAAAGCTCCCTGAAAAGATCAGCACATGTGAGTGACGCTGCTCAGCCTACTCCAAGTTGTGTAATGTATTTGTTAATTACACCTCCTTACCTGAGGAACTCATGAATACCAGTCTCACTGAAGGAACCCCTGAGCAGAGCAAATTTCATCTTGCGTGTGTTGATGGCAGCCATGGCAGGGTAGCCGAAACCACCAATACCAAGAGAGGATTCCAGCTCCATCTGAGCCCCTGCCTCGGTCCACAGCCAGCTGAGAAGAAAGAGTCGGCCGTTAATCACCGTCATCATTTCCCTTACTATATCGGTGATTGTAGCGTATGTACCTAATCTCCTCTTTCTTTAAAGGGTGTGGCAATCTGAACAAAACTTTGCATGAACATCGTCACACATATTGCAATTATTAACTTCTATATGTTTTTAAAGAAAGAGTCATTATACATCCCAATTCTTATGATTTGTATATTCATCATCCCACTGCGAACTCGATGTTACGCTCTTCCTTACATAACCCGTACGAAACTCAATGTTCACCAGAATTTCTCCTTTTGTTCAAGTCACCACTAAACAAGGAATGAATATGAAACTCTTCCTACTCGAATTTAGTGATTTGTACACTACTGTATGTCTGGCCTTGGGTGCTTACCCCCACATCTTCTTCTTGTACTTCTCAGCCATTTTCATCATCACATCCAGGTAGCTGTTCCTACCTGCCGCGCCTGTTAAGACATAATGACCAGTGATGATCAGCTATTCAGGAATGAACTGTTACTGCTTCTGGTAACTCTCCTGCAACCTGTTGTGAGGTATAGCCTTACAGCTCAAGGCGGAACCTTTTTTCATGCATTAAAAATATGTTTTTAATAAATATTGGGAGCCCACTAAAGCCATGCTCGAGTCATGATTATTGACATAAAATAAGTAGATAAAAGTTAAAATGATTTATTTTCATTAAGGGCAAAAATGTCAAAGAATCTAAGAAGAGAAAGACAGATCTGAGTTCATGTGTGTGATCCCACCTGTGTCTAGGATGTGCGGCAGGACAGCAATTATACACAGCTGACTGTCCTCACAGGTCTTCTTTAAGACGTCTTCACTGAGAATCTGAGAGACAAAGAATTTAAAGTAAACACAAATTTAATATTCTGACATGAATTTGCATTACTTTTTATTGCAAAGTGCTTTCATCACCATACCGTGTATACACCCTATATATCAGTAGTATTAGTAGTTTAATGAATAGTAATTTATATTTACTCTATAACAGGCTGAATGTTTGTTCTTCGCTTCTATGTGCCTACTCTTCAATTTTCGTATTTCATATCATGACAATAAAAGGTTTTTATTCTAACTTTCTAGTTAGAATTAATATATATTTTTTACAAACTATACATTAAAATACACATTAAATCAGGCAATTTTCTTGTAGACTATGACAACATTATCTTCAATTTGCATTTTAAACTGTAATTAAAAACAATTATATATGACTTTATCATACAAATATGAGAATACTGACCTCCAGCAGTTCTGGAGGAGGAGCATTGTCAGAAAACAGATCCAAAGCCTTCTCAATAATGTCACCGCGGGTGCGACCTCCTTGGTAGTCTTCTGGCTCCTCACCTTTGCGGAAAATCTTGATGGTGGGAAACCCACGGATCTACAGAGGAATGATTATCAAACAAGAAATCAAGGTCTGCAGTTTTGACTATGAAGCTGGGTTTTACTCAGGCAAAAACATTCTGATTTAATTAGTGTGACACGACTAAATCCACACTACAAATGCATTTTTAGAGCTTTGAAACTTAACATTCTGCTAAAAAGCAGCAGAGGCTATTATTCAGTATCAAACGCCAGTAAAAACATGTAAGTGTAACACAGACCATTACAAATGACTCGAGAGTAAGGAAGTATCCAAGGCAAAGTGGCCACTGGATTATTGTGCACAATAATCAAGTTGTGCATTTAAAATTAGCCAAGAAAACATGCAAATGTTTTTTTTCACATCTAAAGAGTGCACCTTTTCAAGACTTGAAAGTCAGCTGTTACTCACCCCATAGCGACTGGACACGCCCTGGTGTACAGTAGCATCAACAGCTCCGAGGCGAACTTTGCCCTTGGTCTGTTCCTTGACAGCTGTGGCTGCAGCTGCCCATTCAGGCTCCAGGCTGTTGACAAAGGAGGAGAGGTGCTTAGAAAAACTTTATCATTTAGCTTCTGAGATACTGACATTTAAATCAAGCAAGAAACTTTATTTTCTTCAGAAATATCAAATGGTATTAAAGGTACTGGAATAAAATCCCTAAGACCTCACTGAACAGTTTTGAGTGGGATTAAATTCTAGTGGAGGATTTTCAGTGAGACTTATCCAGGCCTACTGGGCTATTATTTCACTTTTTCAACTGCACTAGATTGTTACAGTGAGAGGATTTCAGTTTCCTACTGCTTGGAATTAACCGTTTCGAGTACCAAACTCACTTCTTGCAGTGTCCACACCAGGGGGCGAAAAACTCCACCAGCCACACATCATCACTGTCCAGCACCAACTTGTCAAAGTTGTCATCAGTGAGCTCGACCACATCTTTCTTGTTCCCACCACTGCTGCCGCCACCACCACCGCTCTGCTACAAGCCAGTTATCAGTTACATAAATCAGCTCATGTGTGTTTTCTTAAAGCTTTGTGATTTCATGCAAGTGCAAAAAAAAAAAAAAAAAAAAAAAAAAAAAAAAAGTTCATTACCTGTTTGTAGTCAGAGCCACCAGATCTGCCGCTCAGCCTCTCTTTCACCAGGTTACGCAGAGCGTTCATGGCTCCATCCACGATGGCCTGGCTGCTGCGTCCACCTGCGTGGTTGTCAGAAATGCAGATTTCAGTTAACGCAGCCTCAAACACAATCACAGGAAGAAAGGCCTTGAAAGCTATGAAAATAATACCTTATTAAATACAGTGTTTTGTACAGGTCTCTTATAAGCCCTGAAAGCAATAAAATACTCTGTGAAGTCACAACTATGCTTGATAAGACTCAAGATGACCCTGTTCACAGACGTAGCAAGGATCAGCAAACAAAGTCATAATGATATGATGGACTGAGCCTGCTGGAGAGATAAAACATTTCTGCCATAGACTTCGGGAAGGTGACCTTGTGTAGATATAAGTACACGTAGCAGGAAAGTGAAATTCAAATTGGATGCTATTACACAGGATGACTTTTCTTGCTATTGCTCATCTCTATTCTCATCTAATAGATGCTTCTGCTTAAATTGTTTGGGGGGGGGGGGGGGGGGGGGGGGGGTCGCCTGAACTTTCTTTATCAAGATAAGATGTTAGATTATTAAGAAACAAACCAGCATCCCCTTTTCTATTAATTATTATGTTCAGCTTATCAGTTTACTCAACTTATTCAGTAGGACTTGGAAGATTTTACTATGAAAAATACTTTCAATTTACACATAGGAAAGTTGTAGCAGCAGAGTTCTGTACCTTGGTACTCCTCTGGTTTGTTCTTATTAGCGCCAAAGATCTTGATGGTGGGGAACCCTCTGACACCATACTGGCCACCCAGTGACTTGTGCTGGTCAGCATCCACAGCACCAACTTTGACAATACCCTGAGGAAAAGTCACAACACACAATTTGGATTATGCAGCTTCTGAGTTTATATTCAGGTCAACTTATTTTTATTTGGCTTAAAACAAAACGTTAGTTTGCATGCCAATGAGCAATTGCCGTTAAACTGGGATTTCATTACAGGAGTTGCCCATATCAACAATACTGTGTGGAAAAAGGAGAAGACATTTCACGAAATAAACAAGTCATTTTTAATCTGGATCCTGTCATCCCAGGTTGGATAACGTCTCATTTCTTCCTAGTTTTCAACAACAGAAAAGTTAGGTAGATAGCACCTCTTTCTTACAGGAAAATATCCCTTATTAAGTAACCATTTTTTATTGTTAAATATCAAATAAAAGGCACACACACATAACCATCCACTGAATGCGCTGTCACTGAAATTACTGTGAAATTTAAAGTCAAAGCCCACCGCTGAATATTTCTCCACAACAGATGTAGGCGTTTTTAATGCAGAGGAGGCATTCAGCTGAGAAAACAGGCTGTCAATCAGAAAGTCTACAGGGCATCAGATAGATGATCACGGCAATTTGTATTTACCTTGAGGGCAGTAGCTGCCTTCTTCCAATCAGGAGCTAGATTTCGACAGTGGCCACACCTGGCAGAAAGCAACAGAGAAAGTGAAATCTAAATCCATGTTTTTATACACAAACTCATTTTAATGTTAAAAAAACAACATCATTTTGCCAGTGTGAGATTTATTCTACAGTCCTTCAGTAATGACCTGCTAAATACAACGCACAAACAGCTATGTGGCACCCTTATTAGTCACTGAACCAAATGCTCTGGTATTAATAGGGAGTGAATATTTAACACTTGATTTGCATAGATTTTGTGCAGTCACATCTCCGCCGACTGCCTCTTGTTGCAGAATTGAGTTTTGCTATACCAACCCTGTGTGCACGCAAGCATGTAGACTGTGTGCATCTACGCACTTTGTGTCTCTGTTGAGCACTTTTGCACGAGATGGTGCTCAACCTAAGGAGGAGCTACCAGCTTACCAGACAAGTCTATTCCTATCACAAGTACAGATGTAAAACAGATGACTGGATAATAAAATACAAAGATGAGAAACTGGTATTTAAACTAGTCACTGGCTGTTCTTAGAACACTTGTTACCACTACAAGACAAGAAGAGTCCATCACAGTTATACAAACTCACCAGGGAGCATAAAACTCGACCAGCCACAGACTGTCACTCTGGATCACCTCTCTGTTAAAGTTGGATTGGGTGAGCTCGATCACATCATCACTAGCCGAGTACAAAGCTTGGACAGCCAGAACCAGAGAGCAGCCCAGTACTCCTGAAACAAAACATGAGGACAAGAGGAAAAGGATGACGCCTAGCAATGCATGCTCATTCACCGAAACAGCCACTTGGTTTAAGAAAACAGCGAAAAAATGTTTTACATCTACTTGTGTGCAGTTTATAATCTACATTTATTTAACAAATAAAGGAAATGACTTTGATTATTTAATTCAGTAGACGATAACGAAGGCCTGGCTCTGTTCTCTGAATCTTAACTTAGCTATTTAAGCTAACAAGACGAGCAAAAAAAAACAAACTAAAACGCCGCCAAATTCACATTTAGTTAACAAACCCACAAACCTTAACTTTAGTATAAGCAGAAAAGCTTCTACTGTTGTCACTCACCGAGTAAAAGTGGCTTCATGATTTCAGCCTCTCTATGCTCGTCTCCTCACTTAGAACAACACAGTCCGCTGCCGCTGCGTCGCTCACAAAAGTACACAGAAAAATCTCACCGTGGCCCACCCTGATTGGTCCGCTGATGCCGACGCTTGAGCTCAGCCAATCAGCGCGCGCCGTGTAGTTTTAATGGAACCGGTACACTGAAGACGGGAGAGAGCGGCCGGAGGAGAAAGGAAGCAACACATGTAACAGCAGCAAGAGGATGTGATCCGTGAGAAGGCTGACTCATTACAAACAGATGGAATGCGACTGTACATATTAAACACAGTATCGTACAGATTTTGCTTATGCAAAGGCATGCAAAGATAAGCCAAACTTAAAAGCTAAGTAATGCTTTTCAGTGTAAATAATACATAAACTTTACTTCTCAATAAGTTTTAGACAGTTACACAGATAAAATAATACTAAAATAAAAATAAATGGTATCTATTTGTTACTATATTACTATCATTGTTTATTGAATTGTAATTATTATGCTTTGCATTAATGTGAAACGCCAACAATCTAAACTACATTTTTTTGTAACTTTTCCTCATCATAAAGTGTAAAGAGACATAAAACGGATCCATACACTCCCTGACAACTTCATTAAGTACACCTCGTTCAATTACATGATAACAACTCAATGAATTTAGGCATGTACATGAGATAACCTTCAAACTGAGCATCAGAAATTGTAAGAAAGGTGATTTAAATAACTTTGAATGTGGCATGATTGTTGGTACCAGACAGGCTGGTCTGAGTATTTCAATATTGCTGGTCTATGGGCATTTTCCTGCTCAATCATCTCTAGGATGAAAAAAAGTACCTTTGGCTGCTCCCTTACTTCCTAAGAGGTTCCCACATGGAATGAATTCACGTGCTTTCATTTGGCATGGATTTTACACCAAATGCACTTCCTAATGCAATCCTCCCATTTTTAGAATTGATCAAAAAGGAGAAAATATCCACTGAACAGCAGTACTCTAGGCCAAAATGCCTTGTTAAGGTCAGATGAGAATGACCAGACTACTTTGAGTTGAAAGGAAGGCAACTGTAACTCAAACAACCACTCTGTAAACTCACACTAAACCATTAAGCAGATGTATTATAGCAGCAGAAGGCTACACTAGGTGCCATTCTTGCCAGCTAAGAACAGGAAACTGAGCCTATGGTTTGCACAGGCTCACCAGAATTGGACAACAGAAGATTAGAAAAATGAGCCTGATGAGCTTCGATTTCTGCTGCAACATTCAGATGGCAGAGTCAGAATTTGGCATAAATAACATGAGAGCATGGATCCATCCTGCTTTGTGTCAATGGTTCAGGCTGTAGGTGGAGTGCATACTTTTTACAGTTTGACCCCCTTACTACTAAGTGAGCCTCTTACACATCACATCATACCTCAGTATTGTTGTTAACCCTGTCCAGTCCATTAAAACTACTATGTATTCATCTTCTGATCAGCAGGATAACACACCATGTCACAAAACTCAGATAATCTAAAACTGGTTTCTTGAACAGGACAATGAGTTCACTGCACTCACATGGCCTCCACAGTCACCAGATCTCAATTTAAAAGAGCGCGTTTGGGATGTGGTGGAATTGGATATCCAATGGAAACTCGGCTGATAAAACTAGAGCAGCTGTGCGATGCTATCATATCAATATGGTCCAACATCTCAGAGGAATATTTGCAGCACCTTGTTGAATCCATGCCATGAAGAATAAAAGGAGTCCAACCTGGCACTTGCAAGATGCACCTAATGAAGTGGCTGGTCTGTGTTTGAGACCTATTAATCAGCCTTAAAGACTGAGTTTTAACTCCTATGTGAAGATTTTTAATTTCTACATTTCATATCACAATAAATTTCCATGAGTTAAAAAATGAAGTAATGACTGCACGTAAATGACATTTACATCCTAACTATAGCAGTCAAAATTTAAATGCAATATATTTTGTCATCTTTTCTTTTTTCTTTCTTTCTTTGATTTTTTTTTTTTTTTTTTTTTTAGAATTTAGAGGAAATGTGGTCAAAATTGAGTTCTCCTCGTTCCTATGTGGCTTTTCTTCCTCCCACAGTCCACAAATTACGCATGGTCATTCTAGATTGACCATAGGTGTGAATGACTGATAAGTGCAAACATGGTAAGTGTTTCGAAGATAGCTTAAGATGCAGTCGTTCAAAGATATTGTCTGTAGGTGGAGACAAAGAACAAGACATGCAGAATGGCTGCTGAAAGCCATTCAAGCTGTTACTTCAGTGAGCTGGAGGTCTGATCAGGTGAACTCGGTGTTCAACTTATAAAAAGACAAGAAATACATAAAATAAACACACAGAAAATAAATATTCTGGAAAATATATTAAAAATGTGTATAGGCCAAAAGTGTAAGAAAAACGCATTACAGTAAAGCTGCCACTGATTGTAATTTCCAGCCAGTTATAGGAGCCAGTTACGTTTTTTTCAGTTGCTTTTCCTTAAAAAGCCTCGATTACTCCTCATATTAAGTACTTGATAATTAGCTGTTTGCTGAGCTGTTGCGCTGCGTGATAATGAATTCAAAATGGATGATGGGTTAAGATTTCATCCGCTGTTGATGGAAAAATGGATGATTTGATTAACTGCCACTTTAACCAGTTGTTGTTCTCCTCCAACCCAACCCAGGGGTACGACTATGACCCTACCGTTTCACAAATCATCACATGCCTTGGAGATTTATGATCTGCGCCTGGCTGCACTGCGCGAGCGGAAGACATCCAGCGAACTTTAAAAAATAAAAGCATAACATGCCAAGATAATAGGTCGGGTGGGGCTATAGCAAGCTGAGTGAATATTAGAACAAACCATAACTTTTAGTATAATGCGCTAATTTATTATTGAACAAATTATACATTGAATTTTGCATGTGCTACTATTGGCATCCCATAATGAACATAACTTGGCGTACAATTTTGGGAACAAAGAGTGTGTCTTTAAATTATACATTAAATAAACAGCCTGCTCCACTTTTACCTGTCTCATACTGCTATACGTGTTTTATTGTGAAATTTAAGCCTGGAAATCTCGGTTTGCTTTGGTTATGGCACGCTTGATAGTAGGCGCACTTCAATGCCAACTTTCTCAGAGCGCACAGGCGCAATGATCACTGCCAAACACAGCTGAGTGGAAGTGAGGAGACTTCACGCTGCATTCAGTGTCTGAGCATACACTTTTTTCTAACCTAAAAGAACAGAAATTAGAAGGTTTGTCGGTTGTTACGCACAGCGCCAGAGCTTCTAGTGACTTGCGTTAACTTTGTCAGAAAACGGATTCAGTTATAATCTCAAAGAGTTTGGCTGTTTTCTGGCGGACTTGTCAGAATAATGTGGGGCTTCCAGAGGACGCGGTATGCAGACTGCAACGGTTCTGAGGCCAGTGAAGAGACTGAGATTGTGGTGAATATCGGCGGAGTGAAACAGGTGTTGTATGGAGACGTGTTGACTCGCTTCCCGGAGACTCGACTGGCAGAGCTGGTGGACAGTTCACTCAAATCTTCTGAAGAAATCTCATTAATATGTGACGATTACGACCCGGACACGGGAGAATTTTACTTTGACAGAGACCCCGAAGCTTTTAAGTGCATAATTGAGTTGTATTATTATGGGGAGATACACATGAAACGAGGCATATGTCCAATTTGCTTCATGAAGGAGATGGAGTTCTGGAAAATTGACTCGGATTTTCTGGATGAATGTTGCAAAAGCCACCTGAAAGAGGTAGAGGATGAACTTGCAGAGATAGCCGAGAAAGTGAGAACTATCCTTGTCGACAGAGAAGGCGATCCGTCTGCAGGGGGCTGGCAGCGCTTCCAGATATGCCTCTGGCGGTTGATGGAAAAGCCAGAATCGTCCCTGCCTGCCCACATAATCGCTATAGTTTCTTTCATCTTCATCCTCATCTCCTCCGTGGTGATGTGCGTCGGCACCATCCCCGACCTGCAGGTGGAGGACTCGGAGGGTAAACTCACGGAGCATCCGGTCCTGGAGGTCATCGAGACCGTGTGCATTGGCTGGTTTACTATTGAATACCTCCTGCGTCTGATCTCTTCCCCAAATAAAATAAAATTCGTACTGTCCTTCATGAATATAATCGACTTCATGGCGATCATGCCCTTTTATGTGGTGCTGATTCTGACCTCCTTCGGCGCGGGAGTGATGGAGCTGGCTAATGTGCAGCAAGCAGTGCAGGCTTTACGCATAATGCGCATTGCGCGCATTTTCAAGCTGGCTCGCCATTCCTCAGGACTCCAGACTCTGACATCTGCCCTAAAGAGCAGCCTGAAGGAGCTCGGACTGCTCCTCATGTACATGGGCGTGGGGGTATTCCTTTTCTCGGCTTTGGGCTACACTATGGAGCAGAATCACCCGGACACCTTGTTCACCAGCATCCCACAGTCTTTTTGGTGGGCTGTGATCACCATGACCACAGTGGGGTATGGAGATGTCTACCCTAAGACCACTTTAGGTCGGTGTAACGCGGCTATCAGCTTTCTCTGTGGGGTCATCGCCATAGCCCTGCCTATACATCCCATCATCAACAATTTTGTCTTGTTCTACAACAAGCAACAGGTGCTGGAGACTGCGGCCAAACATGAGATTGAACTGATGGCACTGCGCACCGGCGGCGAGCTCATGGCTGCATCTGGCTCCCATAAACATATTTGCGGTGCAGGGGCCTGGGACAACGACATGCGTTCCGGTCACAGCGATACGTTCATTCCCTTACTGAAGGATCCCAGGGGAGGGGCGGGCATCCAGACCCCTAGCATGGACACAAGCTTTGAAAGCACAGCCGAGGCCACTGAACATTTTATCTCATGAAAGGGAAACCCCCCTTACATTAAAAAGTCAGCAAAAGAAGAAACATCATGAAATTAATTATTCAGTTTTGAATTATTCAAACGTAACTTGACAAATTTGGTTTAATGACACCGCCGTGACTGCAGAATGTAAATAGTCTCGTGGACAGAAGAAGGCTTTAATGCTTTCCAGGGACCTTTAAATGCATTGAGGATTTGCGCCTGTTAAACAGACATATGTGTGAGATATTGAATTGATGAGCTGTGCCTTTGCGCAGTGACTCGCTGTAGGCTGAGGGGTTCTGTTCAAACAGCCAATACACCGATTCCCCCATGTAGACATCTTATGTAACACGCCCATAGTCCTCACACTTATACTGTAGACTGCATTGTAGCGTAGTCCTCTGTACAGAAATATATACATCACAGTAAATGCTTTTAGTAACGCAGACAAGCAGCTTTAGTCAAGAGCACAGATAAATGTAATGACCCCAGGATTGATTTGTGAGAGTGTATAGACATCAAAACAGAGCTGAAGAAAAGCTGAAGGTGTTTGGATACAGACCACATGCCATACATTCAAATGAGGTAGGTGACTGTATCACTGCAACGTGTTGCAACCAAAGGCGTATGATGGGGACACAAAGCAACATAAGGCTGGGGGTGGGTTTATTTTTGCTGCTGCCTGTAATCGTCATGGCATCATTGTAATTTTTTTTGTAACTGACACTATATGATTGTGAGGTAATGCATCAAACATAAAGCCCGTCTACTGTGCAGGAATTTTTAATGCAGCGTCTGTGTCATTGGACTGAATTTCTCGTTAAGCTCGTGTTGCCGACATCGGAACTTCAGAGGCTTCCTTGCCTGCAAGACATGTTCCTGTAAATGGGTTTAAATTTTTACAGCAGTCGTCACCATCTCTGCAGAGGTTCCGAGGAATAAACTTGACCAGCGAGTTGTAGATGAGGGAAAGAAGCAACAGGCAAAACAAAAACGCTCGTGTATAACTCTATACATTCGTTTTTCAGCGTTCGGGGAAATACAATGAAGAAAAATACATAAAAAGAATAAATAAATAAATAAATAATAGAACTGTCTGGAAAGCAGGTAATGGATTTTTAAAGAAACTTGAAACCACCGTGTATTTTCGCACTGCCTCATATGTTCCAGAGTGAACTCTTAAATTGCCCTAATGGGGGCTATTTTTAAAGGTTACATTTTCACGGTTTGAAAGGTGTCAGCTCCTACGCCATTAGTCTGAGTGACATGAAATTTGCTGCACAAATAAACCAGTCCTTAGAAAAGTTAGGCGGCACAGTAGGGGAGCTATAATTAAAATCTGGCACGTTTCATTCAGATGTCATGTCTAATGTGGCTTTTAAACTTTTAAGTCATTGCTCTCAGTTGAAAGCCCCTAAAGTTCTATAAGGTAACTTTTTTTTATTGCAATTTTCTTGTGAGGTGGGTTATTATCTGAATAATTTATGATACATTTTGTCTTGATATTTGATTATATCTGTCCTGAACAACTTTAGATACATAGAGTAACCCCTGATTGCAGAGAACTCAGCTGGTTATGTGTTAGTGTCTCTCTGGATTGTCATAACACAAAATTTGTGCTGCTTTTACAGACAGCGATCATTAATCCATACTAAAAGACTGTATGAAGGACTAAAGCTCATAGTCTGCATAGTGGATGTGAAAGATAATCCCATGTCTATGGGTAAGAGCAAGAATGTCATTCTATGACCTTCCAAGGTAACTAAACTAAAATTCACAGCAGAATCCTTTTCAATATATAGCAGCTGTTTGCACCTGATAGGGATTTATAGTAAATCATACGGCAGGAAAAATAAAACTTGAACAGCTTAGTTTTAGGCATTATAAGGTGACTGTGTGCATCTTCAGTAATTAATGAATCATGCCTATTTATACATTAACAACATAATTAATTGTGCCTACAGTTTTAGGAGCTACTGTAGGAGCACCCCTAATTAGGAATCACTGGATAGTTCCTGTAGCCTTAACTTAACTTTTCAGCCTCAAAAAATGTATTATGGTAAATGGTCTGTATTTGTAGCGCTTTACTAGTCCCAAAGGACCCCAAAGCGCTTTACACATCCAGTCATCCACCCATTCACACACTGGTGATGGCAAACTACATTGTAGCCACAGCCACCCTGGGGCACACTGACAGAGGCGAGGCTGCCGGACACTGGCGCCACCGGGCCCTCTGACCACCACCAGTAGGCAACGGGTGAAGTGTCTTGCCCAAGGATACAACGACCGAGACTGTCCAAGCCGGGGCTCAAACCGGCAACCTTCCGATTACAAGGCGAACTCCCAACTCTTGAGCCACGGTCAGCGACTTAAAAGGTTAAAATATTAAGTACAAATAAGTCACATAATGTAGTTATTATAAAAGAATCCCAGTTTTCACATTCATCTCCAATGTAGAATTTCTCTTGGTTTAAGTTAAAAGTTGGGAAGCTAAAAGTAAAGAGCAACATGTTAATCTCAAGCGCTGTGATTGCTGCATTACTAAATCACCTGATACATCTTACAAAATGTCAGTTTGAAGAGTAAGGGGGCACTCCTTCTGCATGGCTACATCTTCACTAGTGTTTTCCACTTAGCTCGAGTCAACCTGAAAGGAAGCCCGTGGAGAAGGTCAGGAAGGATTCTCCAGGCTGTCCTCCCACACACATCCTACACAGGGCCGCTATCTCTCCCGTCCAGCAGCAGACTCACGCATGTCAAAGCCTGCGAGAAAGGCCTTTGTTCACGCTGACAGGTGGGACTGGAATGTCAAAGGCATGCATTGTGTAATGGAACAATGTTATTACGGCACACACGCAAACACACACGCACGCTCATGTTCAAATTTAGATGTATAAGCACAGACTTTGGCATATATAAACACTCCCCCCCCCCCCCCCCCACCCCTCTCTATAACGCCTACCCGTTCTACAAGTGCTCACACATAATTGCCCTCACACATGAACATAGTTGTTCACCCGTATGCCCACAGTCATGTGTGATCTACTCTGCAGTGGCTTGCTGTGATCTGATTGCCAGTTGCCAATTGTTACACCCACACGGTGGTCATCCACTACATTCAGTGGGTTTTAAAGATAAACATTTGCACAACATTGTACTCATTATCCCATTGTCCAACATAGTACCAATTATAATCCAGCCAGATAATGCTTGTTACTATTGAATCAATATATATTTATATCCTTTAAACTTGTGAGACATGATGGTATGACGGAAAACCAATTTTGTTTAAAAAACTTTCAACATTTGGTGGAAAATGGTCAACCTGTTTATCTACATACTTAAAAAAGACTTGAAAGGATCATCTATGGCAGCACACAGTGAGGCTATGCAGCACGCTATGTTTGTTTGATATCATACAATATTTATATCACCGACTATTTTATTATATCTAGTATCACATGTTGCTTGTTATAAATAAACATTTAGCAAATTAACAAATTAACTGCTTGACTGCCACCTGCCATATCTGCATGTGTTTCAGGAAATCAAAACGCTTCTTAAAACTCATGCATCCCCTCCAGCTGACTCCCGATTGTTAACTTGTGGCATACCGGCACGCTAGTACTGGGTTACACCAAAAAATTTTGATGACAGCATGGACACACTGATGCCTCTCCCATTTCTCCCCTCCTTTGACCTTTAGAACAAGGATCATGCACACGTTCCCCATCTAAAAATAGGGAAGTCTCTGTAGGTATCCTGTATACAAATGGTGCAGACAAATAAAACACAAACTAAAGCAAATTATGTTTTACATGTCCCAAAGCAGCTGTTTGCTCTGCTGTTGTTGTAAAATGTGATTTTAATATGAAAAGCTTTTATTCACCGTCTGGGTATCCTGTGTAGATTTCCACAAGGTAAAATAAAACAGAAAACAAGGCAGCACTGTCCAAAAAACAACAGAAAATTAAGGTGAAGTTAAAATTACTAGAAAAAATGCAAACACAAAATGTAAATAAAACGAATAAACATGACTAAAAATGAATGGTGGCAACAAAAAATGACATTTTAAAGACAGTGTAGCTATAAGAGAAAGTTTTTTTTTAATGAATTCACTGAGTCTCCGTCTCCAGGCAGGTTAATCCGAAGCCGAAGCTGTGGAACTCTGATGCTAAAGCACCCACTGCAGAGATAAACCTCATGTTTGGAAAAGCCAGGAGGGTCAGGGTCATATAGTACTGTGCAAAAGTCTGTTTTTCAGGTTTCTTAAAGGACATTCAAAGCTCTTCTTTGGATGTTGGCTGCCGTTGTGCTGGTGTTGGGGTGGAGCCATTTACTTAAATCATCAAATGTACGCTTCAGAGGACAAGCTAACGTCACTCCTGGAGTGTGTCTGAAAATAAGAGAAAAGAAAAATAGACGAAGATAAACAAAACAAATGCCATTTAAACTTTCAGACATATTGCTGATGCAATAGTACCCAAGATCACACTAAAAGCAGATAATGTCGGCCCTGAAACCGTACAAATGAGATACATTTGAATAGATTCATATCCTGCAGAAGATGGTCAAATGCCTTCATTTGAATAAGAATGGGAGTGCTAAGGCTTAACAGCCCACCCCTGCGAGCACTATCGCTGCTTGAAAGATATTTTCAGCTGCAGGAAAGGGAAAAGGTAATCTCCCTGATGTTAGATTGAGAAAAAGAGGGAAAAACATATTTCACAAGATTGTGTGCCCTTTTCATCTTTTTTCAGCAGGAATGTTTAAAACACTGCGTAGGCGTACCCTGGAGCACTTCAATTCAGGCAGAGCTGCATAAAATTGCATGACAATAATTACATAGATTAAATCCGACCTTCAACAAAATAGCAGAATGGGATGATGCACTGATCCCACTCAACCTGTCTGCTAAAATTATTTTCATAGCTTTTTTTTCCTTCCCTCTTGTGCACCTTTATCACTTTTTTCCACTTTTATTTTTGCAAAATGTTCTTTTGCAAAACATCTGTTCCTGTGGGTTTATAAGAACAACGCTAAGAAATGTACAGTATTCTGAATAACAGACCTTCGTTTGGAATGCCAAATAACCCGTGCACAGTCACTGCATCATTTAAAATGTAGCCTCACAGCTGAATGTGCCAAAACCTTTCAAAGTGCAAAGTGGTAAACAGTGAAAACAATTCCGCTCTTTGCTGGTGGTATATTACAGAGAACTACAAAAAAAAAAGAAAAAAGAAAAAGCATTATGAGAAAAATGACTCACCTGTAGACTAGTTCTCATTGATGTTTTTTTACTTTTTGTCTTAGGGACTAAGAGACATGCTGTCTGATGCAAAGCTCCTGCAAAGATATGAATGAGGGTTTTGCAAATGCTATGAATCTGTTTGAAGACACCTGCAAGAGAATACTGAGTGATAACTATGGGTGCACTAATACATAGGGCATGTAAATACCTTCATTTAAAAGAAATTAGCAATAACTATCCCCATAGATTGCAGTGATACCTGATTACCATTTTATCTTTTCTTTCGGTGAAAGTGAAGATTCATGCTCAGAGAGTGGAAAGATAAACTATGATACATGTTCCCACACATGTCTGTCTACCAATCTTCACACAACCATTCAGCTGGGAAGAGCTGCTGGGAAAAAAGAACACATGTCAAGAGTTTAACTTAGTTTCAGTGTAAGCTCAGTATCTTGAGATCGGGTGAGCAAGTTATGACCTGCTTTTTTTCAGGGTTGTTAACTGAGGGTGTTTTGGAGTGC